AGTTTCTCATATACGTTAAATAAAAGTTGAAAATTTCACTTATTTACTTGAGATTTTATTTTATCCCACTTACAGATTCTGTAAAACTTCAAGGGATAAAGAATCATTTGCTGTTTAAGAGCCAGCTACTGCCTTGTATTTGCCTGCAGGCAGGTGTCATAAAAGCACGTCCAACACAAAATATGAACTGCGTGGTGTGTCTTAGCCATCAATATGCAACTAAAGAGCATAGTGTTATATTGTAGAGTCAGTGATACAGCCCATGCGTTTTTATTGCTAGTTTGTGCAAAGAACTCTACCTTGGGGGACCATTAATGTCCAAGCAAGCAACCACTAACAACCTGTCTACAAATACTAAGTTATTTAACACTATGTTTAGTGGCCATAACAGGTTTTAATGACTTAATATCTACAAAGCTGATCCTTGAGACTTATGTCATATGCTCAATGTGGGAAATAAACTACAAAAACCAGAAATGCCCTAGTTATACAACCAATGGAAAGACAACATCCTATCTGCAGCTCCTGCAAGCTTTCATCTGCCTTTGCTCTCTCTCAAGACAACAGAAAACAGAATTGTTATTCTTCCTGATGACATCACATGTTAAGATTTTTCTTTACGCAGTTTTCCTTCATGACCACAGCCTAAAACCACTATTGAACCTGAGCAAAATATATAATAATCCAATTAAATTCAGTTTACTTGCAAGCAAGAACCATTATTCAGATTCAAAGCCTCACTTTTTGCTTATGGAAATGCAAATATAAGATATCCTAAAGCATATAAGCAGTAAGAAACAGAAACAACTACCTCCAATCCTTTCGTTTTCAGACACAGTAGAACTGACACGACCAAATTTTAGGCCTCCTTTCCCAACATTCTTGTTTCAACAGCTTCTTTAACCCCTTAGCAATATCTACACTTATCTGCCTCCCCCCTGCCTTTTTTTTTTAGGCTAGTCTCCAAGAGAAAGAACAAACCAGTACCATCACATAAGATAGTAAGCATAATGTAGTTCACTCCAAACACAGTTACCCTATTCAGAGGGGGACTTGTGGTACCAACATAAAAGCATCCATACAAAGCTTTCATCAGTATAGTTAATGTGGTACATTAATTACTGAATAAGATCCATCACTTAAAAACAGTGTTAAGTTCCATATACTTAGGCCAGCAATTATATCAAGCCCAGGATTATTCAGCACAAACTGAGTTACCAACATTGCCAATTACTTGGTGATTAACAGGGAGAATACCTCTGGCCACTCACTGCTGTTTTAGATATGGTACTCCCATAGTTTATACGTCCACCATACATGCTAGAAGCTTTAACACTCCCTAACATTTTGAGGCAAGCTGTTGAAAGATAAGCTTTAAGTCTTCCGCAAACCATCTGCACTAGCAACCATTTACATAATACAGCAATCCTACTATCTCTCCTTTGACAGGCATGATAAGTCTCTCATCCCAAAAGGGAACACATACTCTTTACATCACCATTTGGGTTCTTGCTGTTTATTTCTCTTACAAGTCACATACATTTACAGGAAAATCATACAATTCCTGAAGATTAGGTGGGAGAAAACACCAGCTATCCTAATCTGGCTTTGCCAGTAGGATAGTTCCATATGTACTTTCTCCAGCAGCAAACTCTGTCAGATTCCTGGTTCCACTACATATGTTTCCGCCTTCAGACTGTGCCAGCAGAACAGTCTGTGGACAATGCTGTAAACATTTTAAAGAAGTGATCTGCATTCTTCGAAGTTTTCCCTTAGGCTACAACTTCAACTAAAACAAAGAGCACAGGCTTTACAGAATCCTTGAGCTAAACACAAGCTTCAGCTAGGGGATACATTTTCACTTAGCATAGGTTGTCAGCAAGAAGTTAAATAGACAACCCGGTAGGTTCCCTCCCTGCATCATACAATTGACCCCATGTGCAAGGTTGCACTTTCCAGATTTTTTTTTGCCTAAACAAAACAGTATTTCTAGCCCGTAAAAGTCTCTTTTCAGATAGCGTTTGCTGCCAGACTGTTTTGATCTTAATACTTATCAAAGTAGTACAAATTACAAATTCCTAAATAAACTGCTTACATTTTACTATGCTTTCTCTCTAAATATTAATCAGAGTAGAACACAAAAGAAACAGTATTTCAGTCCCTAAGATCCTAGCTGAAAAGGGTAATTGACACACAGCTCATGTCTCCTTTATCAGTCTTTTGCCAGCTACTGAGCTCTAAAATATTATATGATTCTTGATGGTACTTCTCAGCCTTTTGCTGCTTTTGATTAACAGTCTATAGCGATTCCAACAAGTAAAGGATATAAAATGCATTAAAACACTTTCAATCATGTTTAAGTGTTAAAATCCAAGTGATTTTCAAAGAATCTGATAACATGAGATATTAAATACACAATGAGAAATACATTTCAGTAGAAGCCCCATTATGCTATAAAGCTAAGTTTTCAAGTACAGCTGCTATATAAAAGACAGAAACAAGTTTTCAGGATTCTGCTCACAGATACCAATAAATCTAACACATTTCTAAACTTTAAAGCATTCATGCACATTGTGTCTATTTTAGGACTTTCTCCTTTACTGATGAACATAATTTCTTGAGTAAGCAGGTGGCACATTTCAATATTCACAACAGTGGTAGTAGCAATAGCAACACAAGGTCCAAACCTCACTGTCTTGTTCTAAGCAGTTCTGAAAGATGTAACTCATTACTGTAAATAAAGCAAAATCTAGTCAAGGCAAAAATAGCTTTATAGAATCTAGAGACGTATGGGATGCCTTCAACTTCCTGCTTCAGGCCCTAGGAAAAAAATAGGCCATAGAGATCCATGCAACTAAATGAAAAATAGACTTGAATCTCTCCTGTGAGACTGAACCTGCTAATAGATACAATCACCACCAGGAATTTTATAGTTTATAAGTCTTCTCTGCCTTCTCCCCACCATCAAAAGGAGTGACTGCATTTCATGGTAACTACTGTTTACAGTAATTACTTAAGTTCTATCAGAGCATGCATTAACATTTTAAAAAGTATGTGTGAGGAAGTGATAAAGTGCTTTACTAAAGCACTTACAACCAATGCTGTAAGTGTTCTTCCTTACTTTTTGTGTAACAGACTACAATTAACAGCAACAGAAAATGTCTCTAAAAAAGAACCATTAATTAAAATGAAGGGCAGAAGGCAATTTCATTCCAGCATAACAGATTGGAATAAGCCATAGACAGAAGTGAAGACCTAGTTGTTTATCATTATTTTTCACTTAACCAAAGCAAAAGGGATCTCAAAACATTTTAATTATAAGGCAGCATGCATGTGAGGTTAAGACATACAGCCCCCAAATTTTCCAGACAAATCTGCAAGAAATTAGGTTATTTGTGGTCTGCCAATATCACAAAGGTCATCTTGTGAGCCAGGATTTAATATCCATGTCTCTATTTTTAAATAAGTTTTGAAATTACTGCTCTTTCGTATGATGCTTTTAAACCACACTACACACTACTATAAATTATCACAGACAGACCTAAAGACACTGTACAACAACCAGTAGCCCTTTGTGAGCAAACATTTGCTCACAAAATCTTTGTGCCCTTTGTAAGCAAAGATTCAACCTTCAACCAAGTACCAATGAAAAGTAAACTGTTTATAACAGAAAGACAGGAAAAAGAGCCCCAACCAGACCTCCATATAAAGTGGGAAGAAATCTGTGCTATGAGCGTCACACTGTTCCTGGCAAAAACCTCAAGATACTGATGACTTCCACTTGAGGAATACTGCAATGCAAGCCTAGGACCATAAGTAACACTGGAAGGATACCAGAGAAGAGGCAGAAAGCAGAAAAACAACATTACCAATTATATTAAGACTTTTCTGTATTAGAGAGTTTAGACTATTAGACAACTAAAACATTAGCTCATGTATTTATTGTTAACAAATTCATGGCTCCACTTACAAGGTGTGTTGTATGATTTAGAGCATAACAAGCTTCCAAACTGCCTCATGCATATAGAATGTGTATTCAGATATAGGACAACCACAATACAGAGCACAGGGAAGAAAAGGAAACCAGCCACAAAGTTTAGAAAGAAGTAACACCTGTGTAAGTCTAGGGTTCTCCTGAGAGTGTCCTGAGGATCTATACTTTTAATGTTGTAAGGCAGTAAAACTGCAGTATTCCATCAGTACAATGTCTTGCAGAACATAACGTAAAAACACAAGAGCTGGTAGCTGAGTTGGAACCAGGAAGTTATGGTGACAGATAAAGAGCTCCTCAGAACACAAGCTAGGATATTTTACAGGACTGCACAGTTTACATGGGAATCCTGCCATATAACTACATATCATTTTCCATATGAGCTCCATCTCCCCTAGCAAGCATTCCTGTGCTATATGTGCTGAAAGATAACTGCTTACTGCTATTGAAACAGAAGAACATAAAACTAGTATATTTGTCAGATTCAAATCATTGCACAAAATCATTAGTATTTCTGGATATATGAATTACCAAGTCAAAACAGAAATAAACAAACACAGCCCTATTACAGATAATTCCTTCCAGTAGCTCTGCCTTTCTTGCTCAAAGAAAAAGCCATTATCTAACATAGCTGAAATTATGCCTACAGGCTCTGAAAGATTTTTTTTATGCTAGTCTATTGCCAAAAAGTTAAAAAGATTGCATAAAGTTATTCATCTTCATATTTGTTTCTTTTCTTGTGCTCTAGAATCTTCTTACCAGACATTCTGGGCTAACACACCAAGAAGAGGCACCTCTGCATGTTATTTTGAGATCAAAAGTTAGAAAGTATGTACAAATAATTGTAGTGACTATTCAGTGTGGCATGTAGGAGGACATGACCACCAATCAAGCTAAAGTAATCTTCTACTCATTTAAATCACATAGCTAAAAAAGCAATGAATTTATTGAATATTGAAAAGGACAGTACTTCTCATCTGCACTTTGCCATCTAAACAGGAATACTCACCCTGCTGCAACTGCAGGAGGGATGACCAAGATGAGTTTAAGTTGTGCTTCATGCAGAGCTTCAGAAAGGTGAGTGAGCAAGTGAATCAGCTCCCTGAAATATAAACATGTTGTCAGGGGAACAGGCAATAAAAATGGTGCTATATTAACACGAACAAGCTGGCAATATTAGGAATACACCTATAAGAGATCCAAAGAGTTGCTAGAGAATGACGACAGCAGAAAGACTTTGAGGTAGATTGCTAAAAGTTTACCCTCTTCCAGAAGGAAGAGCATCGAACTGCCAAAAAAAAGTCTCACTTAATTGCAACTAGAGACTTAACTAGCATCATGTAGTTAAATGCTTTCTAGGTTTATTTTAACTTAATTGTGCATGGTTAGCATGTAAAAATAGTGTATCTTACCAGAGAAGGGCAATCATTGAGGTCACATTCAGTATAAAACATGGATTACCATCCACTTTCTATAACTAGCCGCAGTTGAATAGATTCAGGTTGCCACAGTACTACTGCACTGAAGATCAGATAATTTGTAAAGATGCTTACACAGCTAGACATGCACTCTTCAAAGAGTATTTCTGGAGTCTATATTTACAAAAATAAATCTTTTTCTTTGCTATGCATAATCTTTTTGTTTCCAAATACATTAGTATATAGCTACAAAATAAGTGCCTGACAAGACTGTACCTAGAAGTACATCCTTCAGGAACAAAAGTGTAATGTTTATTCCTATTTCAAGAAGAGTTCAACATTACCTTCAATTGGAACTATTAATACAGGTTCTACCTTTTAAACAAGGTTTGATTTGAACCCTCAGAAACAAAAACTGGTGCTCTAATGTCCTCCAAGTCAGTATCATCCCCAGAGACATTCTTCTGGGATCACAGACCCACCATACAATTATTACAGCATAGGAATGATTGACTTGCACAAAGCAGACACTACCCGAAGGTATCCAAATACTTTTAATTTTTCCCCAAACAGTTTCATTCCTGATAAAAACTAAGGAGGCTACAGAAAACATTAGTCTTAAATCCTGGCAAACACACAAAAGCAAGCTTTATCACAGCCCCAGTGCCATCAATATTTTACACTTAGAGTTTGAGACCAGGCAGCACTGAACAGATCCCATCAATGAAATATCACAATCTGTCACCTATATTGTTCAAACAATGTAAAAACACGAGATTACAAGTATCAGCTTTTGGTCTGTCTGCAACATGTATTTCTACCATTCTTATTTGTGTTATTTGTGAAATAACAGCTTTTCTTCCCATTTTGTTCTATGCGTTCCACATTAACAGTGTCACTATTCAGACAAATCAATTACAGCAAATAATCATTTTCCATACGAAGACATTCAAGAATTACAACACCAAACACTAATCGGTTCCAATAAACACATCATAGCTCCCACAGTCTTATCATAGTCATAGTCTTATCAAAAACTACAATCAGTATTAAAACTAAGTAAGCCTTCTACCGAGAAAAGCCTTATGGTTAGGTGACCTTCTAAGTAATTTTGCCGGAACTGATACACAAATATGGTATCTCTGACATCTGATAAGAGTGCATTTGTGTATCTTCCTCAGCTCCTGAAATTCTATCCAAATAGCAATACTTTGCAGCTTAAGGAATGCAATGGGAGTTACTCCATCAGTTGCAGAGAAAAGCTGGAGGGGGAAGACAACTATTATATGTAAGGTTTTCCCTTCCCTTTGTAACACAAGTTAGTAGCTATTTGCCAGCAGAGGTAAAGATGTGCCCACAAATGCCATCACTTTTTAAATTTAGAAGGGCCTACCACATAGAGCCACAACCTACAACTGTAAATAAAAGACAAATTTCCATCCTGAGAAACAGGGAAGAAAGCAGATTGGATTATTTTTATTTTGTGAATAGAAAAATGGGACTATAAGCTTTCCCCCTGCCGCCCTGCTTCACACTCCATCATAACAGCTTGTACTTCCTCTCTTTCCCTGATAAACCCAAGCAGTATAGTTCTGAACAAAAATTAATTAGCTTCAGCTTAGATCAGGTCAGGAAGAAAGTAGTCAACAAAACAGCTGCAAATTCTTACTCGAGAAACTTAGATTAGCAAATGTTCACTAACCAGTTGAGTCAGGTCTCTAGGCCCCAAAGACCTTTATGGTGAATCAGACAAGATTAACAGCTAGTACCTAAAGACTACATTTAGCCTCACTTTTATTTATCAGCCAAGAAAGTACGTAAATCAAATGTGCACTCTTCCCCTCTTCCCAGAAAAGCAATAGCAGAATGCTCATTTATTGTGTGCTATAAATTAAAACTTTACTATGTCCCAACAGTGCTTTCCAGTGTTTTAATACAACATTTTCCTGTAGTATGTGGCAATTTTGAATGAAAAAACATTGACATTTTAGAAATTACAATGTAGAAATAAAGTCAGCCTTCCTGAAAAGGCTTCATTAAATATTTACCACAGACTTCACCACTGTCAAAGTTAACTTCAGAGTAGCTACTAAAATATTGGCAGCTTTAAGACTCTCTCACAAGCTAATTAAGGTTTACATCAATCCCACCCTGTTAGGCCTATTATCACTATCATACAACATCTTCCAAATGTTCATGATTCCAAAGCATTTTATCCCCTACAAAGCATGCATCCTTTCACATTTTTACCACCCAAAGTGTCAGAAAAAACTACTATTACAAGGTGACACTTTGATTTAGCTTACTTTCAGACACAACAGCGACCCACAAACTTACTTGAAAAGCTATGCAGAAGACGCATCTCATTGTTATACCACGCTCTCTAGTTACATGACCCTTCCAAAACCTGCAAGTTTCCAACTTCAGCTATTTTATAGCTTAAGCTGGAAGTCATTACTTCCCCAAATTTATGTCTTGTCAAGAAAATCAGGCAGAATAAAGCTGTCTACTTCGAGAAGAAATTGCCCTTTTGTGCCATTTCATTGCCTAGTTAATACCAGGAAACTGGAGTGAATTATAGCAAATCTTTGATTAATAGATTAATTTTTCAGGGACTAGCATGAATGATAGATCTGCCAGGAAAAGAATTTGCTCTTGTACTCCTACAGACATTAATAAGATGCCTGAAGGTCATATTTTGCATGATGCCAAATGTCTGCAGCACGTGGCAAGAAAAACTATGTTTTACAGATGGATTCTGTGTGACAGTAGTGCCATCTGTCAGCTAGTGCCAGACTCGACTCATCAGAATAACACAGGCACTTTTATGTGTGTTGTGAGATTCTGACGGGCTCATTCATACCTAACCGTATGACAGAAGTCTCTGAGGTGGAGGGGGGGGAAGAAAGAAAAATAATTAAGGTAATTAGACTCTGCTATAAGAGATTGATTTTCTGTATGTTAAAACAATAGGAAGATGAGCAACATCTTTCTCCACTGTGTACCACTTGCAATGATTGTCAGCTTACAAGGAGTCAGCATCAATTAAATGCTATTCAGTTTGGCTTCAGTATGATACGGGTAGAAAAAAAACTAGGAGTTTATATTCAAACAATTCATAGGAAAGAGGTAGGTGCAGTGTTATTTTAAAGTATCTATATTAGACCACTACAGTAGCCTAAACTGGCCAGCCTAAGCTCCATACTCCTCACTTCCCTATGCATATTTGAAGACAATTCAGGTTCTTCAGATAGAATAAATATAAATGCCTAATGCCATTTCATGCACTCCAAGGCATACAAAGCATCCTAAGGCATCTTAAAGTCTACTGATACAAGAGGATAAACTACAATTAAATCAGTTTTCTGATGCATGTAACACTTAAGTCATTACTCCATTTAATAGTGTGTTTGAAGACTAACATGCAGTTTTTCATGTTCTTCTATAGCCTCACCTCCCACCAGAAATATAGATGCACTACTGTTTATGACATATTTCAATGCTTCTCCTGAAAAAGCATCACTCTACATACTCTTCATAAGAGAGTGAATGTCAATTTCAAGGTTGAAACACAGGAAAGGCTCCCAGTATTATACAAAGAAAAAAAGAAAAAAAGTTTCTTGACTGCAAATGAGGCAGTTTCCCAAACAGAAGTGTCCTATAAACAGATCCTACTCTCTCCAGTTATTTCAAGCCTGATTGAAGTCATTTGTACTGTATTCTGTCACCACTAAGGTAGTGCGTTCGATGGACTTCACAATGCTGCTAAATAGAAAACATTTCCACAACTTTCCCCTTAACATAGATTCTCAAAAGGATGCATTAATATGACTGAGTGCCATTTCATTATTTATTAATTTAATAAATGTCTATGTTAGGTTTAAAAAAATGAAAGCCACAATGACTATTTTCTGCTTACAAATGCATAGGCACTGATCTTATTCAAAAAGCAAAATCTCATAGAATTTCAGTTTCTTTTGTCATGTCACAAGCAAGCTGGCAGCTGCAGCTTCTCCATAGTTATTTTTGTGAACCTGTGCTAAGTCTCCATAGCCTACTGCCACCCGCTTAAATGAGCGGTCCCTAAACTCGCATAATTTCTAAAGAGAGGAGAAAAAACAACCAAACCCACTCCTTTAAAAGGCATTTACACTAAAAGGTAAGAATAAATCCTATTAGGTAGACAGGTCTCCTTGTACTGTCAGAAAACTCTGAGAGAAATTGGAAGGCAAACACCATCTCTTCCTACGAGCATCATTACAATCTTTTGTTCCTTTACCTAGGAAGAGGTTTAAGCCATCTGAGATGTTTGCCCTTGAAGGATCTGAATCAGCAAAGCTTAGGCTATGTATCAAGTAGCTGAGATGCTTTAGATGTTTAAACATACACAACCACTGTCTTGTCAAAGTCTTGCATCTCCAGAGGATTAGGGTTCACCTCTGGGTGGACACCCCTGCAAATTTAGCTGTCCCCCACCTATCTAAGAAAATGTTTTACGATTGACATTTGCCATTTTGGAAACACACAACATGAGGAAAGGGTGGTATAGCAATCACATTACAATACTGCCACTCTGTGGGCTGAAGAGGTCATGAGCTATTCTATTTTTGGTAACAAAAAGCAAGATGCAGAAGGCAATTCGTAGTTAGCCATTTTTCAGGAGCTTGAAGGAGAATTAATAGATCCCAAGATAATAGCACTCAAAATGCAATAAAAATTAAATTTAAAAAAGGCTTGCTAAGGACCTGGATTTATTTAATTCTCCTGCTCTTATAGCTGTTCACAGCATCTGCTTGATCTAAGAATGGAGATAATGAAATGTCCTGTGACACTGGACAAACAAACCAGTTTCAAAGTAGATACACCCACTTTGTAGATACACCTTAGCACATTTTAACACACTGTGTTAAAATTACTGTAACACAGTCCACCTTACATGAATGCAAGTTAACCAAAAGGAAAAGCATCTTTTTAACCAAACTATAGTAAGCATAAAAAGATACAGTAATCTACTTCAGCAGTCAATTTATCACTTGCAGTTATCAAGCAGTTGCTATTTGCTGGCCATTTTAGAAGACTACAATAGATTCAGAGCTGAGCAGATAAACTAGTCATCAAAAAACAACTGGAAAAATTACCTATTTATGAACAAGAGTACTTAGTTTCAGTTGTCCTAGAATGAATTGTATATTGCTTATAGAGAGTAACAAAACCAAAAACAATGTGGGCAAATTAAGCTTTAAAGTAAAGCTTAAAGAGATCCTTTTTTAAGGATTAGGGATTTTTTAGGAATTGCATCTTAAACTTATACTTACGTTTGCTTTCGATTTCCCAGCTGACTCCAAACTTCAACTACAAAACCATCAAAATTTTCTTTCTAAAAGAAAGCCAATGATATAGGGTTAATCACCACACATACTTTATTACACTGGTATCAGAGACAATACATTAAAGAAGAACAAAATTACTTTTTCTTGCATTATTTAAATATGTTTTGCAGTTACACAGCTTCATCTTTGCACTTACATAGCTTTTCAGAAAAGTTAAAGTGAAGCACGGATTATTCAAGAAACATGCAAACTCAAAATTAATTTCTACTAGCTTTCTTTGACTTCACCTCTCACAGGATAAGCTAGTATCAGATAGGGAAAAAATAGCTATAAATGAAAGCTGATTGTTATGCAAGTCACATGGCATAAATTTGTATACACATACACACTGGGAAGCCACTCACCAGGAATTCAGTCTAAAAATGTAAATACTAACTTTGGAATGTAGGAACACCAACCACTGAGATTAAACGTCTTCTGGGTACAAATTGTCCAGACCTCTACATATGTTTCTGAAGTTTTTAAGGAACTTCCCAGAACACCTAGGCAAACAACAACCGTTCCTTAAAGGAAATTCTTTCTCCTTGCCACAGTCTCTCAACATTTGAAAGGAACTGGATTTTCTGAGCAAAGCGTACAGTATCACGCATTCAGTGAGTTGTATTTGAGCTGTACTAAAACTGGCTCATTAAGCCTAGCATGTTGAGCCCAGAGGTATTCCTGCAGCACAGGACACAACACTCATGCACCAGTGACCTTTTACCAGCTTACCAGAGAAAACACTAAAACAAAAAGAAAGCCTGACTTCCACAAGAAGTTTTGGGTATCCGCTGTTGTGTCAGTGATTTTTAATCTCTCAGCTAACACGGGTTTAATTGGCCATTCTTTTTAACTAACAAAAGTCAGAGTAGCAGCAAGTAGTATCTTAGTAAGGTTATGTTGATCAATTTACATGGTCTCACTTTAAATGGAGTATATCTACACTTCATATTTACCGGAATTGGACATATTCTAGAACACACTATGAATTATCCTGTGTCATTCCTTTTTTACTAAAGTTTCGCTTTGTATAATATAAAAATACTAGAAGAATATATACTTAATAGAAGAAGCTAAAAATTATCTCACAATGTTTTAAAAGCATTTAAGTCTTGTTACCTTGGCTAGCAGAACCATATTATTGGAAAGCTCCTCTATCTCATCCTCACTTCCAAAAACACTTTCAAAGTCTTGGTAAGTCCAGCCATCAAACAAAATTCGAGGCACTGTCAAGCAGAGAAAGTAATCAGTACTGAAAATTAAGAATTTAGTATCCATCCTAAATATAAGTATCATGCAACATAAAGAAAAAACTATAATTTTATGCTATACAAAGGTACCACTGAACAAAAGTGCTGACAGCTAAGATCACTGCTCTTTAACCAACATAATCAGAGTAGATAAACTGACATCGAGAACTTCCATCTTCATTCTGTTTTAAGGTTAAAGGTGAGCACTAGTGCAAATGGCAAATCTCCCTCAAAGGGAGATAGGGGCTAAAAGAGGTAAAACAAGGCCTCTTCTGTACTACCATGCCAGAAATTCTTATCAGCTGAGATGTGCAACCCCCTAATATTCCTTTCTCAATCTCCTAATGGCTAAACACAAAAACAACTTATGTAAAACAGAGACTGACCTATTTTGATGTTTTTGGAGTTTTTTCTGACATCTTTCATCCAGCCTGTCAAACAAATCAAGCAAAAGAACAGCGATTAAAATGTGAACGATGTTGTCAATGACCATTTTCAAGCAGTTTTCAAATAATGTAGCATACTTTCATCAAATCTCTCTGCCATAGATTACTAGTCCATAAGCAATGAAGTGGAAATGAGATTTGATATCCAGAAAACAAGACTATTAACCCTCAGCCATGACCAGAAGTTACTAGAGCCTTATAAGAGTTCCCTCCTCTGTTCCTCCCTCCTGTTACTATTTAGGCTTTTACATCATCACAGAAATCAGCCTACTAAGAAAAACACTTCTGTACTCAAAAATCCTCCCAAATGGTGTTTAGTAAGTTCAAATGGCTTGTTTTAGTTCACCATGTGAATTTGTTAGTAAGCACCAGCAAGATCAAAATTCTAGCTGTTTTGGTTTAGATGCCACACAAATATTTCAATTAATGTAAAAACATAAGCGATTTAGCTACTATTTAAAAGTACACAACCTGAAATCTAAACTGGCTGGAAATTTCTGGATACAGCCATAGAATTTAAAACAAATACATAAGACAATTCTAAAACGTACACATATCTTCCATATCCAAAACAAAGTTATTCAAAACTTTTGCAAGAAGAAACACCAAAGGGTAGTGCTGCCTGTACATGTTTTCTGTCTTTTTTGAGGGAGGACTGTCAGAAGAGCTAATCTTTCTACTTATTTTTGGTAGATAAAATATGTGCCTACGTGAACTCAAGTGAGGGCAGAAAGAGTTCACTGAAGAAAACCTACTATAAATTCAATGTCAGAAAGTACTTTACTACAAATCAGAGGGGGAAAAAATCCATATAAATATATTGTCAGAACTACTCATCAATCTACAGAATCTGTGATCTTACTTGTAAAGCATATACGAAGAAAAAGAAAATAAAACCTTGGTCAGCATCATGGAGCCCAGTGAACTGGAACCTTTCCTTTCCTCTCCTTTTCACCTGTAGCCAAACTGGTGAGATCAGCGTAAATTTATTTCCAAATATTTTAGCAATGTCATAGCCATGGCTGTTCCACTTGCAAAAGAAAGAAAAGTGAGTTATACCAGCAAAATACATAGTCCATTTTAATTGTTTTATAGATAACACAAACAATCATTTGCCAGTTTCTCACTTGCTAATTTGAGAAAACCTTCTAGGATATTGTTTTCTTTTGATTAGGAAAGGCACTCTGAAAATTTCCTGGTATCCGCATAAATAGCAACTTTTCACTTTGTGTAAAGCCATCCAAACTATAAGAATTTGCAGTTAGATTCCAACAGAGCTTTGAATTAACAGGATCTGCATTTATGTTCAAGAGAACTTGAAAAGGGTGAACTTTACACGACATTTCTTTCTCTTATACTGAATGGCAGAAGAACAAAACAAGTGAGAAGCATCCTCTACACAAAAAGAAAGAACATGTATTATTCAAGAGAAGATACTCCAAATAATAATAAGACTCAATAGTAAAAAGAGATCTATTTGATAGTAGCATAGAAGTTTTACTGTTTATTTAGAAGCTTCAGATTGGTAGCTGGATAGTACAAGCACATCCTGGTCTGACTTTACTACAACTTCACATGACCCAAAAAGGAAATATGCCTACTTTAACCAGCAAGAAGCACAACAACATAACTTGGACTCCAACAAGAAGCAGGCAGAACCTGAACACCATGCCAGTTTCTGAAATAATCCTCTAATTATTTGACTATAGACCAGAAGGTCTCAGTACTTTCATATTAGTGATGGAAAACTACAGATTAGCACTATCTACTGCATATTCATTCCAAGTTCCATTTTTAATAGCTTTATACTTTATTGACTTACAGGAGTAACATAACCCAGAACATCTCCTGAAAAATGCCTTTCCTTTATCTCCTTGAAGCAGTAACTTTTGTGTTCCAGTATAATATCCTTTGCCTTTGGATCAACAACTACCAGTCCCCGGTTCTGTACATTTTTATCAGAATGTAGTGCCTGAAGAGAAAAAAAGAGTTTTGAGAACAGCCATGTCAAGCAGCCACTTCCAAAAGCAGAAGAGGAGAAACAAAGAAAAAAAAATACAACCACATACAGTGAACTCTGAACACCTCCTTTAACTGGGGCAGACTAGTTTTGATTTACAAGTGAAACAGAAAGTAGTTTGGAAATGATCTGTCATCAAGAGTAAAACTATTCAGCAAGGGGAAAAAAAAGGATCAAAAAAACCCACAAGAACTGACAAGATTAAAAAAACAGTCACCACCATTGATTACTGTTGTACCAACAGGTGAAGAAACAATTAGGCAAGAAAAGTTCAAATATTTTAACAGAACAGTTTTCAAAGTCAGAGTGGGGCCCCAGAACAACACCTGAAATTGGTCACACCTGGACATTCACACTTGCTAAACTCTGACAGAGGACAAAGAAACATGAAAATGATGCAACAGCAAGAAGAAATAACATCTCAAGTTATTAATAATCAGTTCTGCAAGTCCATACCAAGCTTGCAGCACACAGTCATCCTAAATTTTAGAAATGATTCGAAGCTGAACTGCATATAATACCCAATTAATACCCTTACTACACATAAACCTACACCACACGTAGCAGTAATTTTCCAGTCTTGCTAAACACAGCCATTTAGTCTCAGTAGCTGCAAATTCTAGAGTACCTGCAGAGAAACTAGCTGCCTTATAAGCTATTGAAATCTCTTTAAAGTGCCTTTATATTTCTCTGCTAACAACTGCTGAAATATTAACTCCAAATATTAAAAAAAAAAAAAAAAAAAGAGAGATTTGGGGATTATTATTCAAGATTTTATGAAGTCTTTTAAAGTAGAGATATTTTTGCTTAAGTATACTGCTTCACAGCTTCTAAAGGCAGTAGTCCCTGGCATCTTTCTTTACAGAAAGCCTGCTTCAACTACACCACAGGTAGCTCTGGCAAACAAGAACAGAGATCCAAAAGGCCTAATAATATGTTTGGGAACTGTGTATAATCTATGAGCTCAGCTAAGGACACACACAAATGAAAAAACATTTCAGCCTAGAGAATCTGATAAGGGGAGATCTGATGAGGGGAGAATCTGATAAGTGTCTGTAAATACCTCAAGGGAGGGAGTGAGGAGGATGGAGTCAGCCTCTTTTCAGTGGTTGCCACTGATAGAACTAGAGGCAACGGTCACAAATTGGTCCAAAAGCTCCATAGGAATGTAAGGAAAAAATTCTTTCCTGTGAGGGTGACAGAGCCTTGGAACAGGCTGCCCAGAGAAGTTGCAGAGTCTCCTTCTCCAGAAACCTTCAAAACAAATTTGGACACAGTCCTGTGCCACATGCTCTAGGTGGCTCGGCACGTGCAGGGGAGTTGGACTAGATGACCTCTGGAGGTCCCTTCCAACCTTAAAGATTCTATGAACATCTCCTTCAGCTGCACACACAAGGGGAAAAATTCCTTCTTTAGCAGATTATAGAGGGGACAAAAGCTCCGAAAGTCTAGACTGCATTAATTTAAGGAGTGAAGCAGTTGTGACACTTGGAAAAGTTGAATGGACAATTTCCAATAGCTTTCTTCATGAGCACGAGCTTCACTAGAAACCCCTAGTCACATCATACTGAATGAGAATCCCTTCAGCATCTCTCAAAGCCTAATAGCTCATTAAATATGCTTACAAGCGAGTATTTCAGTTATTTCTCTTACCTTTTCCTCTAGTTTTTTTGAAGCACCTTTTTTTGCATCCGTCTTTGACAAGGTACCTTCAGCTAGCCAACAAATCATGATTAGAAAAAGCAGGGTAGAGAGAAGCCTCATCTCAGCTTTTCCCATATCAGGTTTCTCCTATCTTGAAAATGCAAGGATTCAACTCTCTGTGAACATACAAGCATAAGAACTTAAGAAAAATTCCACTTTATGTCCAGGAAAAATCAAATGTTTGTCCTACCTTATACTCTCACGCTTTTAAAGAGTCCTGACTTAACATTGCTTTTGCTCTGGGAACAAAATAACACAGCATTTTCAGAACTTCTTAAATCCCATCTTGAACATTCTTGCTCTCTCCTTTACTAGCCTACCATGAATAAAGCAGCAGAGAGGGAAAGTGTGTTGCAGCCTCCCTTTTAGAGGGTACCTAATTAGGTATAAGGGTTCACAGCTGAAACAGATAGGTGTTTGCTGCCCATGATAATTAAGTTCAGCTCTATCTTTTCTATAGCAAGTAAGAGACGCTGTTTGTTTCTGCACCTGCCAAACCCAGTTGACAAGGCTCATGTCAGTCAAGGCACAGCTGTAATTCTTTATTCTAATAGTTATAATAGGTAACAGCTTTACTTTCAATCTCTTGCTAAATTAGTGACACACATAGAACTGGGGAAGAAAACAAAGAAACAAAAAAAAGAGGTAGGGTAGGTGGAAGAGGTGGAAAAGATGGAATGATCTTTTTGGCACAAGAGAATGGCTTTGTGAGTTTGTCCCAGTTCAAGAAAAAGGAAATAAGAATTAATTGAGAACAGTTCTGTTCAGTGTTACTTATCTATCAGACCAACACCATGCCAGTAGAGGGACTTAAAAAAAAAAAAAAAAAGAAAAAAGAAAAAAAAAAACCACCAAGGATGGAAGGAGATAAAATTACAGAATGGAGGAAAGTAACTTGCTAGCAATTCTGGAACTCCTCAGGATCACATTGGGACTAGCCTCCATCTATAATTGATTAATGGCTCTATATATATACTAGCCCACTTCTCATAATTGAGATCCTAATGGAGAGGAAGGAGAAAAAAAAAAACCCCTCTCCCTTACTGTCTGAAGTTTTCTGTCAAATATATCCCCTTGTTCTTAAAATAATTTTGTTTTTCCTGCATTATTTTAAAAAAAGGTTTCCACCATTTGAGTACTTACCAGCTCATTTCATCACAAACCTCATGTACAAAATGTCTTCAAGAATTCAGTCAAATCTTAAAAACTGAAAAAAAAAGAGCAAGTCTTCCAATGCTACCCTGTAAACTGCTATGCAATTTGAATTTCACTATTATCAATAATTAATGTCTTACCCTTCCATTTTGTCCTCAAGGTGACTAGTTATTCCATTTTTTCTATATCGTAAAGTTTAAAAACTCCTCACTGAACTCTAGTTGGCCATCAAAATAGTTTAATTTTCTTGACACGATTATATCCATCTGCCAATTATCACAGGCCAACATTCAAATCCAGATCTATAGAAAGTGCTGAGCCTTTATCAATGGTTTCTGACAGTTAGTCCAAAATTGAATCTTAGTTGGAATCTTGTATCAATGATTTGTTCTTTAGCAACAGCAGCGTAGTAACGCTCTATTACTTTGTGTTTCTACTACTGCAACATGTAAGTAGGATTAAATGGAAGTTTGACTTTTCCTGTGGCCTTGTGCAACTGGTAAATTTAGAGTGCTGGGATTTTGTTTTTACTTTTTGAGAAACACTCAAACATTCAATTGCCATGAAACTGAGCTTTATCTCTAAGCCAGGTCACACAATGTTGCATAATCAAAGTGAGTGTCCAGATGAGGTAATGTCCGTTTTACTCAGCTGCTTAAATACTTCATTTTAGAGAGAGAAGACAGCAGGCATAGATTTAGGCCGCCCAAAAGAAGCAACCAGTGAAACTGCGTAATTTCACAAAACTGACATGGTATGTACATTGAAACCAGAGTTAATGCTTATATTTTGTATCTGAAGAAGAAATCAGCTTTGTTTCTTACTGTGGAGCAATACTGAGCAAGATGGCAATTACCATCTCACAGTACCAAGACTCACAGAAGCTAGATCCTGGAGTGAAAACGAACTTGTTTCTAGGCTAAACCTCACTGCCTTTCCCCAGATATCATCAGGACAGAAATAATGCCCACATTCTTTCACCTTCGACCTGCCTCGGAGCTTTAGGCCGCCCTTGCAGCCCGCGAGGCGGCCGGGCCGATGTGACACAGTCAGCTCTCGTGGCGGCCTACCCGCGCC